AACAAGCCTTTTTTGTAGCTCATAGTTTTTTTGATTTTCTTGTTTATTACACACTATTTATTCACTTTATATTTTATAATATACTTTATATTATTATTAATTATTTATATATTTTATTTTTTACCATTTTGATTTACAATGAATATAATAAAATAAAAAATATTCTAAATATAATATAATACAATATAATAAAACAACTGGCACTATATTGTAAATATCAAGGCAAAAAAATAATAATTCTAATATGATCACTTCAAAGCATGTTTTTTTTAGCCATGACATGCAAAAGCACTATATTATGATTATGTCAGTGGATTTGGGCAGACGGACCTGTCTGACTATGTTCTGGATGAGCTTGTCCATGGTGAAGGCGATATAGGCGTGAATGGTGAACATCTCTCGGAGCGAATCCTCGTACTGAGACGCCTCCATATTCCCATCCAGCAGATTACGTAATCAATGTCTTCAGGATTACTAAGGCTATAGGCAGGTGAGTTTTGTTTTCAGGGTTGGAGCTGAACTCTGCAGGACTGCGGCTCTCTAGGACCGAACTTGCCTACTCCTGCTCTAGAGGATAAAGAGCGTCTCACCTCATCAAAGATGCTCTCGATGTCGTTGAGAAGCGTTTTCGAGCGCAGCACCTTAGTGTCGTTCTGTTTGAAGTTAATGCCTTGATGGTCCAGAGATTTTAGGTAGTATTTCTCATTCTGCTCTCTCCAGATCTTGTTAAAACCCCTTTGAGCTTCACGCCACTCTTCCTCCTTCAGCTTTAGCCTGAAACGCAGAATGAGAAGATGGATATTTAACATATGTTAAAATAACTTGATTTCAACAACAACAAAACTTTAGCAGCTAAAATCTAGTTATTGGAAATAAATAAAAACAAATATTGGTAATAAAATGAAATAAAATAACAGCTTTAAAAACCCACATTGGTCAACCACTATTTTTGGATAATCTAGTATAATAATAAAATAAAATATAAAATAAATGTAATATTATTGATAATTGCTAAACCACTACTGATAAATACATGCTGGGAAATAAAATAAAGTAATAAAAATAAATTCATAAATATTAATATATTTATTAAATAAGATAAATATATGAATATAAGTACTAATAAATATTTACTTAATAAATAAAATGAATAAATAAATAAATTACTTAAAATAAAATGCATTTTAAAAAAATATCTGAAAAATCCAAATTGGTGAACTACTAAATTTGAATAATATAATATAAAAACGTTAACCCACTACTGGTATATAAAGAATAAAATAAAATAAAGTTAAAATTAAAAGTTAAGATCAAATACATTAAAAAAAATTATATATATATGTGTGTGTGTGTGTGTGTGTACATGTATAGCAGGTTGTAAAATAAATAAATAAAAAATGACTTTAGATAACTAAATAAAACAAAATACTATGCATTTATATATATATATATATATACACATACACAGTCATGGCCAAAAGTTTATTATTATTATTATTATTTCTAGATTATTGTGTAGACTGTAGAGTGATCAGATGCATTTTAAATAATTGCTAAAAGCTTCATTGGCCAAAAAATTAACTTTTCACAAAAAACAAATTTCACTGTTTTTTTGATCCTGACAAAATGACCAGCTAACATTAACTGACTAATCATATCAGCAGCACATGTGAAAGTGTGAATTAGTGATGTTCGGTTCTTGAACGAATCGTTCTTTTGAGCCGGTTCTCAGGAAGTAACCGGTTGGTGTTGACACAAATGACTTGTTTGAATTTTTCATTGATACAACATGCCAGAGTTGTTAGAAAAAAAATGCAAAGAGACGTTATTGCTTGATGAATCGGCTTTTTGAACCGGCCCAATGAGCCGATCTGTCCGAAAAGAACCGGTTCACGGAAATTAATCGGACTTTGCATCACTAGTGTGAATGAGTACTAGTCAGGTGAAATCACTATCATACTAATTAGATTGTAAGAGCAGACTGATTGCTATAAAAGGAGGGAATTTGCGCTTCCAATCATTGTGTTCTTGTTAGCAAAAAAAAATGAGAAGAAACGTATTTCGTGTTAAACAGGTTTTTTTTATTTTATTTTTTTTTATAAAGTCGGTGCTTGGAATAAAAGCTTTTTATTTAATTGATTTTTGTCAATGACTGCAGTGTTAATATTTTAATTGTTGATACAAGATCGGCGTCTCTCGACGCACCCCCGCTAGGGGAGGTTATCACGGGGCCGTTCGCTACGCCACTGGACAGTTACGCCGTTTGGGCTGTCTTGTTGAGCGCAGTGGCACTCAGAACATTATATTTCATTCATCACTTTTATTTTCCAAATGTAATAGGATCGATTAGTCCAACGAATCATTCGGTTTGTAATGCGTAACGAATCGAAAGCCTCGTACCAAACAGTTCAATACGAATACATGTATCGTTACACCCCTAATATATAAATATATATACTATATATTTATTTCACATAACATTTATTTTATTTCAAGTTTTTATTTTTTCTATCACGGTTTTAGTTCACTATATTAAGCCTATTACTAACATAATTTTGCTATTGCAATTAATTATTTATTGGTATTTAACAAAAATTAGCACATCAGATCCAATTGTATAGGATGAATCAACTGCAATTTAATTTCCAAAGTATGGCCAGGTTACAAAAAAAAATAAAAAATAAAAATAATATTATATATATATAATATATACAGGTGCATCTCAACACAGAGCCGTTGTTGTCGGTGCATCTTGTCGGTGAACAACGGCTCTGTGTAGTTAATGCTGCTCCATGTGAAAGCCTGCACGTGATGGAGATTTACAGAATGGCTTTACTGACAAGATGCGCGTTAAATATTGCATGCGATTTATCGTGCAGCCCTAATATATATACATATATAAACACCGCGCCACCGGCGGTAGTTGGTCCATTACCACCGTCGTGGTAAAAATCTGCCACCGTCACAGCCCTATAAATTACAATAAATAAATTAAAAATGTTTGAAAAACCTATACTGTTCAACCACCAAGATCAAATAATATACTACATTGTAATATAATATACATCGGGGGTTCTCAACTCTGGCCCTTGAGGTCCACTTCCCTGTAGAGTTTCGCTCCAACCCTAATCAAACACACCTGAACCAACTAATCAAGGTCTTCAGGATCACTAGAAAGTTACAGGCAGGTTAGGCTGGAGATAAACTCTGCAGGAAAGTGGACCTTGAGGGCCAGAGTCAAAAGCCCCTGATATACGTAATGCAGCAGGCCTTTTGAAGGTCATTCTCTCTAACCTCTTGAGTACAATGGGAACAGACACTGCCGGATTCTTCTTCAGTCCGTCGATGATGTCCAGAGCTTTGTCTCCATATATCCTCTGGATGGCTTTCCTGTGGATGATCTCCGAGCAGCCGCCCAGAGTGTTGTCCAGTCGGAATTTCACCTGCTCTTCCGCAGACATCCGAGACAGCTTCTTCTGAACCGCCTCCAGCACACGAATGGTGGCCAGGTTGGTTTCCAAGACGACATCCAGCTGAAGTCGACGACATCGTTAGCAAGAACTACATCACAACAGCAAGTGAAACCAGTAAAATTGTTCTTGAGTGTGGAAGCGTCTCACCTCGAATCGCTCGTCCTCACACCTGTACATGTGCTCTTCATACGGAGTCTTCTTAGAGCTGACGAAGGTCGAGTCCTCAGACCAGGAGGGGAAGGAAACCCAGGTATCATTCAGCACCTGATGCATGCACAAAGAACCAGTTTCTTAATAAAAGCTTGTGTCATATGATGCATGCTCATTATTAAGAAGCTGTTGTTAGGGGGAAATCCTCTCTAACCTCTTTACAGAGTGATGTTCTTCCTGTGCATTTGGGAAGCTGGTAGCTCTTGGGTAAAGCTCGATAACTAGAGCCCAGACGCTTGCATGAAGCGTAGTCAATTTCCATGGCAATTCCTTCAGTGGCTCTTTCTTTTGGGTACCTCTCCAGGTGTGACATCTCCTTATATCCAAGGAAGTTCTTAAACCAAGTGAACAGCTCAGGAAATTTGCTGGGGAAAAATGGGTTAATTAGTAAAAACACAAACCTACTACTGCAAAATAAATACTGGAGGCAGCTTTGTAATAAATACAAAAATAAATAAAACTAAAAATGAATGGCAAAACAAATCTACCTACTGCAAAATAATTTCAGCAAAAAAATAAAATAAATAAAAAATTAATGAATGAATGAATGGTGAAAATGCAAAAAAAAAAACAAAAAAAAAAAACTAAATCCCACTACTGCAGAATCATTTCTAGAGCAGTTTTGCAAAAAAAATTCATAAATAATAAAAAATGAATTAAAATAAAACAAAACATTATTTCCAAAAATGTTTTGGCAGCTAGTAACACAAACCTACTACTTCTAAATAAATGCCAAGGAAGTTCTGTTAAAATAAATAAATAAATAGAAATAAATAATAGAAATAAATAAAATAGACATATTTAATAAATATAAAACAATAAAAAAATAAAGATAAAATAAATCTGTAATTTATTTAAATCAAATACATTTAAATGAATTAAACTAAAATAAATAAATAAAAATAAAATAGAATAACATAAAATTAAAATTAGGGATGTAACGATTAACCGCGAGCCGGTTGAAAATCGATTCAAATATGTGACGATTCAAATCGGTTGAGATGCTAAACAAATCGCGATTCATTTAGGTGTAGGAGTTTATATGAATGTATGTCTG